AGCAATTTTTTATCTCTAAAAGTCACCCTCTGCAGCGGAATTTGGGCGATTAGTGACCCAGCTATCGTATCCAAATACAATCTCACAACCTCAAATTTGAGTGGGCCACGCCTTAAACTCAATAAAAGAGCCGCGGAGAGCAATAACATATGTCTCTATTAGGCGTTGATTTTTGTCATCAGGAATTTTGCCCGAAATATCACAAAATTGAAGAAGAATCGTGTATTCACAAATAAATCAACAGAGACCAGTACTGAGGCGCAACACCGCGACATGAGGTATATAACATTAACAGAGATTTGCTACTTACGATACTTTTTTCTACTTGGAGATCGTGATCTGTCATGCGCTCGCGAACGTTCCTTTCGCCTCTCTGTACTGCTCGACCTTCGTCGCCGCTTGTCTCGACTATCTGATCGGTCTCTTCTTGGCTTCTCTTTTATACGCTCCCTGCTTCTCGACCGGTCTTTCCTGAGTGCTTCCCTGCTCCTCGATCTCCTCCGAGTGGACTTTTCGGGACTTCTCCTTCGGAACTTTTGCGGTAAATCATCTTCATTTGATCTTGATCTTTCTCGTCTTCTCCTTTCTGGGCTTCGTTCTTTTCTGCGTTCAGGGGACCTCCTTCGCTCTGGTGACTTTCTTCTTTCTGGCGATCTTCTTTTACGTCGCTCATCATCACCATTCCTTTTGGGCGAGTAAATCTCTCTTTTTGGTGATCGGTATGGCTGAAAACAAATTCAGATTATTCTCACATTTTTGGTCACTAAATTGGCTCACCTTGCGGTCCTCGTTCTCAATCTCCTCCTTGATTTCAGCTTTGGTTGCTTCTTTTCCTTCTGAAAAAGTGTAGAACGCATAACCGAAAGAACAACATTCTTGGAAGACTTACCTCTGTACTTTTGGTGAAGTTTTGCGACTGATTGAGAGAAATCAACATGAATTCGTCTATCATCGATCAGTACGTTATCCATTTTGAAGAAAGCTTGCTCGCAACTTTTAGGCTAGAACAAAAATTGCGTTTCTCAACTGTCTTCTTTGCTCAAAATAGAATAGTAATTGTCAAAAAAACTTACATCATCAAACTCAATAAAAGCATATTGGAGAGACTGGTGCGTACGTCGATCTCTTATGACCTAAAACTCAAGGAAAAATATTCCTGCATACAAAGGTCATAATATTTAGCTCATGGACTTACCTCGCACTTGATGATCTTTCCAAAGCGACTAAAGATGATTTCCAAATCTTCATCAGTTGTTACGGGGTTCAATTTGCATACGAAGAGTACATTCTCAGGCGGTGCTTCATCAGCACTTCGTAAATCGCCCACCTGAATGAAAAGATAAATGGTTTTGGAAGTCCTTGAAAAAGTACACAAAAGTCAACACATTTTGAACTTACCATTTCCAGGATCTGGGCTTGCTCAGCCATCTCGCGTT